GGTCTGCATATCTGAGATCATCATCAACTAAGCTTAGTTGTAAAACTAGCTCAGCACTGAATTGATCCCAGTCTGCCTTATCTGTAGCGTATCTTATCTTGCTTTTTAATTTCTTGAAGGATTCGCCTCTTCCGATGTTATATCTGATAAGTCTGTGATCGCTGGTAATTTCACCTTCTATTACCTCCCAACCTTCTATTTCTTTAGCTATATCTTTTGTTGATATCGTGATATCTATATTGTTTTCACCCCTGGGGCCTGAGAAGGTGAACAGAGAATCTCCTCTGTTTGCTAACATAAGTTGTTCCTCTGCTATCATGTCCTCCACAATCAGTCCACGTCTATCTGTTACTCTGCTAAACCAATTTCTTGAAAACGCGTTGATGTCAGCTCCAATTATGGTGCGATCTCCACAGTCTCTTTTTATTTTTCTGAGCGTCTCTGTAAGTCCAGCTGTGGGCTCTCGATATTTGAAATATGCTGAGATGAGATTGATCTCTTTGTCATTTTCCGCGCTTATTGTAGCAACCGCGAAATTATCGCAGGTTAAATCATTCCTTGCTAGTACTGTTAATGCTGGGTTAAACACGACTATTGCTGCACCATGTAAAATGTTTTGGGCACCCCTTTGTTGTACCCCGGGTGATAGAATTATCCTAATCGGAGATGCCTCTAGTCCGACCAGCCTTCCACGCCTGACGTAGGGTTCCTGCATTAGTGCTACATCTATACGTTCCCTTTGGGCATATATTAAGAGGTCCTCATTTGCTGTTGCAGTTCTAGCCGTGTTTACCTGCGCTATTCTTATTATGTATTTGCTCATTTCTGTTGACCATAATCTGTATTACGGACGTTTATCCTTATCTTCGAAGTCTTCATCGGACAAGCTTTGTGATGAGATGTGTATGCCTCTCCGCAGTTGGCACACTTGGGTGGTTTGTCCTTATTTTTGCAGTCTTCGACTTTATGTCCTAGTTCAGCACAATATGAGCAGACCATCTCGATGGCCTTGCACTTGGATGCAATGTGTCCGTACTTCTGGCACCTGTAGCATATCGAAACATCTAAGAATTCCTTTACCTTACAAGCCGAGTATCCTATGTAAACGCTTCTATTGATAACTTTTTTGAATATCTCTGGTCTTATTTCGCAGACCCAATGAACTATATCTTTGTCCTTGGGACCTCTTTTAAATTTTGGCTGTATTTTGTCGCTGTCTTTTAGCTCGAGTTCAAGCTCTGGATTTTGCTCGATGATTGCTTTTGCTAATTCATCTGGTCTAATGTCCTTCTCAACATCATAGATTATTACTTTTGGTAGCCATGCTCCGGTTTTTTGGATACCAAATCCTTCTTTTGCTAGTGATTCTATTGCTGCTCTAGTATCATCATCTGCTGGAGTGATCATTAGATCCCCACCGGTTAGCACTATAGAGTCCTTTATTTTAGGTGCTTTGTTCTTCGAGACTACTTGTGTCCACAAGAGTTTCTTTGTCTCTTCTGTCGTTTTGTCTCCTGTTGTTACTATGAACTTTACTGGTGCTGCCTGATCTCTGCATTTTTCGAGTATCTCCATCTCTTTTTCCTTCTTTTTCCTGCTGCTTGATGTTAGCGACTTTGGCCTAGATCTCTCGGTTCCCGAGGTTGCAACATCAGTATCTGTAATGTGAGCTTGTGATCTTCCTGCCGAGGTTGAACCCTCACCATCAGTAACTGCTGTGGTTCTCTTTTTCTTTTTCTTTGGTTTTCTTCTTTTCTTTATTGTCTCTGCTTCAGTGTCAGTTGTCAAATTCTCTTCTAAATTTCGTACTCTTCTGGGGTTCGCCACTGGGAGTGGTGAAACGAACTCCACCCTCCTTTTGCTTTCCTCTAATTCATCGTACATCCTCTTCAATTCAGTATATCTTCCTACGTGATGCATATTCTCCAAGCACAATTCCGTTACTAGATCGTTCAGAAGTGCAACTCCTTTGTCCAGTTCCGAATTGTTCGTTGTTGTCAACTTTTTCTTGGTTGTCGATTTGAACTTTTCGAAGTACATTGTTAGTTCTCTTGCTCTTCTTTGATAGAAGCTTGTTTTCTCCAGATCATTTTTCGGGGTTCCTGGTGTGACTGATTGTTCTTTGCGTACCTTATTAGGGTTTGTTGGTGTTGTTTGTCCTTCCTCTGTTGGCGAGTGACCCAAATTTCTTTTGTTAGTTATACGTTCGGAAGTTCTTCCTCCTTCCGGGTTATTCGTTGCTGACTCAATTGTGACGTCCATTTCACTGCTACTGCTTTTAGCTCCTCCTCTTAATCTCAAAACTGTTTTCGAGACTGGCTTTGCTTCACTATTTCGTTGTCTTTCTCCTTGTTGATTCTTGCTGATTGATTGTTTAGGGCACCTCCTTCCTATAGGGGGTGTTAAATGAAATCTTCTTGTTAGTCTGCACGCAGCTTCTGCCTCACTTATATCGCTGTCAATCTTGTTGTCTATTTCCTCCTCGCCTGTACTATAATCTCCATCATATTCGCTGCACATAGCCGCTAGATTTATTTCATCCGAGTCTATGTACGAATCGTCGTCTTCATAACCTTCGAATAGTGTTCCCATTCCTAGCGAACTAGATCGCAATGTAGATGTTCTTCTCTTCTGCAATGCCCTTGGTTTGTCCACCGAGTACTCCGCTCCTCCCTTTTCATATTCTATCCAGTTATTCAACTTCTGTAATTCATCTTCCGTGTCCGGTGATGGGCATACCGGATATAGTCTTCCTCTTTTCTCCCTGTATGGAGGCAGATCTGTGGATGCTCTGCTTTCCCTTCCTTTTTGTTCTGAGCCTCTTGCTGGTAAGTAAATTGTTCTGATGATCTCCTTGGGTTTGGGCTCCTTTGCCCATCCACCATATTGATTAAATCCTCTGTAATAGCCCCTTTGGTCCATTTTTTCAAATAGGCCTTTTTCCTGATTTTTCCTCTGTTGTCTTTGTTCCCAGTCTCTTATGGCTTCCTCTTTGCTGTTGCTGCTTGCTTGTTGTGAAAAGCTCTTGACAAAAGTGTTTGCCGATTCTAAAAAGTTGCCTTTCTTGACCTCCTTTTCTTTATTTTTCTTGCTGATTTGCTCGTTTTGTTCCATTATTTTCGAGATGTTTTCCCTTCTCTCAATGTCTGCATAGTCTTTGTTGTAGAACTTGCTTGGTCTAAGCTCTACCGGCTCTTGAGAGCTTGAGGATGAGCTTATTGTGCTTATGGAACCAGTGCTTATACCTCTGTTCCGGTAGTCTTTGTAGGGAGGCCTGCCAGCCGTCCCTGAAGCTTTCCATTGACTCATGTCTGCCCTATATTGCCTTTACGGTGACTATGGTTAAAAGCTCCAATTTTTGAGCTAGAACTTCAGTTCAAGTTTGTGAAGCACCAGGGGAAGCTCCCCAGCCTAGTGCCCTTTGAACGAGAACTCTAAGTCTTATAGATCAAAAGTTAGGATTTTGCCCACTGTTCACGTAGTAAGTTTTCCCTTTGATGTTTGCCGCCTTTTATATCAGATGACTAAAAGCTCTGTTATTCAACTTACAACTTTCGTTCAAGTTTGTATCTTCTTCTGGTGTCGTCCTGAGGTTTTTAACCTTTGGACCAGGACTCTGAGTCCAACGGTTCAAAAGTTACAGGGTCCGTCCTGTTGGCGGCTCAGCACGCCGCCGCTTTCTGCTTTGATGTTTGCCGACTTTCTTGTGAAAGTTCTAAAAGCTTTAATAATTGTCCTACAGCTTTGGTTCAAGTTTATGCTGTCTTAGAATTGTCTCCCGCGTTAGTCAACCTTTGAATCAGAGCTCTAGGCCCCGTAGTTCAATAGTTAGGTTTTAACTCCTGCTGTTGTTGTGGCGGTTAACCTTGTAATCCCTTTGATGTGTGCCGCCAAACTTGTTAAATTTCTAAAAGCTCTAATAATTGACTTACAACTTTCGTTCAATTTTGTACGATCTTAGCTTCGACTCCCTGATCCAGTGGCGTTTGAACCTAAGCTCTAAGTCCAATGGTTCAGAAGTTAGGTCTAGGCACCCTGCTGAAATACGGCACGTGGCAGGAATGCGGCCTTCGCACCGGTATTCTGTCTTTGATGTTTGCCGCCTGGGCCGTTGGCAGCCCTAAAAGGCCTTGTAAATGTCCTACAACCTCCGTTCAAGTTTGTACTCCCTCGTTGTGCAACCCTGAGTCCAATGCCCTTTGAACCGAAGTCCTAAGTCTAACGGATCAAAAGTTGACTTTGCCCCCTGCTGAAAAACGTGGCACGTGGCAGGAATGCGGCCTTCACGCCGGTATCCTGTCTTTGATGTATGCCGCCTAAGCCGTTGATAGCCCTAAAAGGCGTTGTAAATGTCCTACGACCTCCGTTCAAGTTTGTACTTCCTCGTTGTGCAACCCTGAGTCCAATGCCCTTTGAACCAAAGTCCTAAGTCTAATGGATCCAAAGTTAGGTTTGCCCCCTGCTGAAATACGTGGCACGTGGCTGGTATACCGACCGTGTGACCGTAAACTCCCTTTGATGTTGCCGCCGAACTTTATATCTACCCCAGAGCTTTAATTTTTGACTTAGAGACTTGTAACAACCACCAAAGTTTAAGTCCCGATAAGACCTATCCGCTCGAAGTTGAACCAGTCTCCTAGCACCAATCGTTCAAAAGTTCGAAATTTTACGCTTTGGTGCCGGCGTCTGGCTGTCTGCTCTTTGATGTGCCGCCAATTAGAATTTTCCGTAAAAGCTTGAAAGTTTTAACTTTAGCCTAACGAAAATGGCCTATGCTCTTACTGCTAACTTAGATAAGCTCAGGCAAGTTTGAATCAGACTTCTAGCCCGCCCCGTTACAAAGTTAGGTCTTGACCTACTTTGACCCCAAAGCAAGCTAAATATCTTGACTTACCGACTTTCGCCGCTCGTTACTCAGGCCGTGGAAAGCTCCACGCTTGGTGACGTACCTTGAAAGATGCGCTGATGTGTCCTCTATCCAATGGCCTTTGAATCGAAAACGTACTTGATTTAACACCTGAGATATTAAATTAAAACTCCTGAAAGCACTTGAACTTCACAACACGTCGTTATAGTACGTATATCGGAAAAGCTCAATAACTTTGGAACCGCTACTCGGATTTCTCCGAAACTTTGACAGAGTGCGTCGGGGGTGACCCCGCTTCCGTAGAGACCAAATTTGCAAAAAACTATCGCGAATTGCCAAAGTTATTGCCAAAATTTGAAATCCCTTTGATGTACCGCACACCGACACACGTCCGTTCACTGCGACGGTTAAAACCGAACTAGTAGATAGGGACATGAGTATCCTTTAGTTTTAGTGCTCCGGGCAAGCCCTCGGCTACGACTATGTACCGTGTATAAGCGCTGTGCGCTTGTTACGAGCCATAGAAGGTCGTCCGTGCGGGGGCGCCGAAGCGCCCGCGCCGCGAGCGTGTCGTCTATGGACCACCAGCACCGGAACCTGAGTCCCGTACCAGACGACGCCGGCCTGGAGCCGCCGGACGCCACCTCTGGTGAGGTCGTGACCTATCCAATCACTTCCCGTTTTTGGTTACAGGCAACCTCCGCTGATTTTATCCAGCGGTAGACCGGCTAGGTGCCTAGGAGAAACAACGACGCCTAGGAGGCTTACACCCCCCAGACGGCGCTGCCGTTCACTAGTGACTGTCGCCTGCCAGCTTCGGCCTGACCACATAGTAGCTCCTGCTACAGCCACCACGAAACCAAACCGGCTCCAGGCGCACGTCGGTAACCGGCATGCGCCCGGAGTAGGGGGGCACCGACCCGGGCTTAACTCGGGGCGGCGGGGCTCCCCCCCTTCCCGTGGTACCAATCTCACCCCCGTTAGGTAGGTCATCATTGGTGGGATGTTCGACCGGGTGGGCCCGGTCTCCCAGGATTCGCTGGCTTGGCTGGCTCTTGGTCGGCCCCACGCCTCCCGGAGGCATCCGCTGGGGATCGACCCGCTCTTCTTGGGGTCGCGGTCAGAACCCCCGACGCGCTAATCCCCGAAGGTTTCGGGCGTCCGCGTCCCAGACGCCGGCCCTCCAGGCCGCTCTTTAGTCGCCTCTTACGACAAGTGAGCACCCTGTTGCCGTATTCTGATCCCCGGACAACAGGGATTCGCGGCATGCATCCTAGGACACACGCCGCCCGCGTCCCCGACGCCAGCCCGCTGGCTCGATGTAGGTGTGGCCTACTCGCCAAGGCTTTGGGCCACCACGGCGCCTCCAGTTGTCCGCGTAACACTGTTGTACGTAGAAGCGCCGCCCGCGTCCCCGACGCACGAGTGTCCCCTCAGGACGGCCCCCCACGTGAACCGCTTCTGCCAACTCTCGCCTTGACACTCGCCTGAACACGTGCGGGGTTTGGCACTCTGGCGCGCAGAGTGTCTTGCCCGTCCTGTTATACCGGCCCTTGTGGCCTCTCGAGGTAAGCGGCCTCTTTGGCAAACTTAGCAAGTGCAACAAATAATTCCTTCCTGGAAACTAATTCCACCATTGTGCAGGGCCACAGTAGTCCAGCTCTATGAACAGCCAGCTCGAGATATGCCCTGTGACTACTGTGGAGTGGGCAATCAAAGATTACGTGCTGGACATCTTCATCATCTTGGCCGCAGGCACATCTGGGTGACGGCCGTAAGCCAAGCTTCGCAAGTTTTGCATTAAAGTTCCCGTGACCAGATAGGAACTGTGTTATTTCGTGGCCCAAAACTATCGGTAGGCTCATCCTGTATTTAATGGTCGGGAAGCAGGTGTGGGTCCATCTGCCCTTCAGCGACTCGTCCCAGCGTTGCTGCCACTTTTCAAGTAACCTCTCTTGCGCGCTATTCACTGTTGCGTGTCTTAATCTATCAGGGAGGTTTTTGGCCTGTGCCTTGACAGCTAGCAGTTGTAGCTCCAGGTCCAAAGGCGGGATTCCTGCGAGAACCTGTAGTGCCGGCGTTGATGTTGTCTTATATGCACACGTCATGCCTAACAGTGCACACCTTTGTAATGACCCAAGTTTCTTCTCGGCCATTTTGGTTTCTGTTGCATGTACCCAAAACTGAACCCCTTATGACAACTTCGGTAAAAATACCCCACGGTACAACAACGTAAGGTTTGCTTTACGGATTCCCCAACCTGAACCAGCTACGCCCCTCAATCGACTGAACAGAGCAAGCTCCATGTTCAGCAACTTTTCAAGGTGGATCTTAAACGATCTACAAGGATCTAACCAAATGCCCAAAAACTTTACGCTGTCGACTGACACAATTCTGTCGTTCCCAAAGCCGACGGTGAAACCAGGAACGAGGTCGCCTTTCGTGACCATGGCCTGAGACTTGGACGGAGAGAAAGATAGGCCCCTTGACCGTGCCCAATCGGTGGCTGGGATTAACGCCTGTTCCGCTCTGCTCACTAGCGAAGCTCTTGTCGGACCCGCTACACTAATGGCGATGTCGTCTGCGTAGGCCTGTATCGTCGCGTACGTAGGTAGTTCCACCCTGAGGAGCGCCTCCATAGTAACG